AAAAAAAAAAAAAAAAAAAAAAAAAAAAAAAAAAAAAAAAAAAACCTACAAAATAGTAACCCACTGATTGAAAAACACACAAGAGATGCCCATCACGACACATCAAGGGGTTAGTATACGTAGGGAACGCGAGTATAGGATCCCCTTTTCTTACACACCAGCCCCCCCCCCTTCCCCATGTCGCGATCTGAGCTTGCGCACAGCAGTGTCGACTGCGCCCCTCGTTTCCTAACCCACGACACCCTTTGCCAGACCAAAACTAAAACCAGCCGAAACAAAAAGAAAATGTACACACCTTATACCTCCATGAAAACCCCGCGTGCCGTCTTCTTCTCGGTGTATGTATATATATATGTATATATGTATGTGTACGTGTAAAGAGGAAATCTTGAAAGCTCGATGACGAACCAGCACTTCGCGGAAGGAGCGAAAAGCTCGGCAGCCCGACAAAAGCTGCACAAAAGAGAGACAGCGCGCTAAGCGGTGTCGGCAACCCCCCAGAGAGCCTCGCGCTACACGGAGAGAGGCCTCATCGGCGCAGTCGCGGAGGAACGGAGCGCGCGGACACGGGGTTTACATATATACGTGCACACGCGTATTCGCGCTGCACACGGTATATACATACATATATATATATATATATATACATATATATATATATATATATACATATATACATACAACAACCAGTCTCCTCGGTTTAGTTGTCACTGGGACACGAGACACTCGGGTTGTGCCTGTGTGTATTTTTTCGTACTCCATGGTGTTTATACGTCTCGAGGGGGGGTTATTGGAGGCTCTTCGCAAGCTCTGACGCGAGTGCGAGCTTTGCTGGTGCGATTCGCCAATACAAGATGCCGATGCTGTGAAGCAGCACTCGCAGGGTCATATCGTATTATATACACCAACACCGAGTCTTTCGTCGCGCTTAGGGTAGGTTTTTTTATATATATATATATATTATATACATACCCACGGGTGGAAGTTGTCGGTTATACCCCATATAATTACGTATATATACGTGTGTGCATAAGTCGGTGGGACAATTAATACAAAGCTCGACGCGCACTTTTGTCCACATATATTATAATCGTGCGAGTGCGTGTCATATTAGCGAATTAAGGAAATTGTAAGTACCGAAATGTGTGTGTGTGTGTGTGTGTGTGTGTTTGTACGAACGTGGCGCTATTTTTAGATCTGAGTTTGGAATTTAATTAGGCTGTACGCGGGTACTCAGCCTGTACCTACAATATATGTATATATTGTTTAATAACAATAAACAACTATAATTGTATTGGGTGCGATTGGCCGTACACGCGGTGCAACCAGACGCGAGAGAGGGTGTCGATCATTTTGGGATTACTCGAAGGCACTTTGAAAGTTTATTTGGCCTGAATATATTTGAGTATCGGCTGATTAAAGGGGATAGAGGGATGCCCTCGCGTGATCGAAGCCTGTGATTTGGCTTCCTCCGTGGTGATGAATAATAATACCTGTCGCAGGTTATTCCCGATAGAGCTTTATCTTGTTTAAATAAAAATAATCAAATGAAAAAAACTTTTTTTTAAATTATTATATACGTCGTATCCTGTCGTAGAGCAAGACTGCAGTAAATCAGTACGCACTCGTGCATCTCTTTTCCTGAAATTTTCCCTCGTTCAGTCCGACTTCGTCGTATTATATTTTTGTCAACTTAAATTTAAGTAACTTCCCGGATAACAACACCAAAAAAAGTTGCGAAAAGCAGAACTACTTGAAAGACGAAACACTTGCTCCTCACGCGCGAAACATCATATTCCAGAAATCCGAGCTGCGTTAAGGGGTCCCGTTTCTTGGCTTTGTCGCGTGGCTTTTATGCTTTCTTGGCACGTGACTCAGGAAAAAAAAGGGCACCACAACATCGAGAATATAACACGAGAATAAGCGCTTTTAAGCTCTTCTTTACTTGTTTTTTTTATTATTTTTTTTTTTTTTTATGTTTCCTTCGCTCTGCTGGCCTCTGATTCGTATGTCACTCGAATTCTTCTTAACCCGTTCATCAGCAACTTGCCGAGGAAACAAATCCACACTCATTCGCATACGCGAAAGTGAAATTTCAATTAAAAAATTCGAGCTCTGTATTTAATAAAACTTGTAAGTAAATGAAATTGTATCAACTTCCCTCCATTTTCTTCAAGTTACACACGCTAAAAATCCTTTTGCAGAGTCCATAATTATGAATCATTTTCGTTTCTTGGAAATCCTCGAGCCGCTTGAATCTTAAATATTTTCCCATCGAGGTATGAAATTTATTTATATTTAATATTTCCCTGAAAATCAATTTATCACTTGATGTTTGCCTTTTCCAGTACAAAGAGTTAAGGTTTTTTTCTTGTTTTTTTTTTTTTTTTTTTTTTTTTTTTTTTTTTTTTTTTTTTTTTTTTTTTTTTT